TCTGTTTCCTTGAGCACAGAATCTAGGATCTAGAAGTTTCTTGGTCCTACAGTAGGCACCCAATAAATATTTATTGAGTAAATGAACAAATGAATATTTAAGTAGAGTGGGAGTTAATTTCTTTGGTATTTACATCTAAGCACCAAGGATTGGAGTGAGCTATGGAGAACTATTCTTAATGATTTCAACATCAGCTAGGCCAAATTGGCTGTAAACATTATCTGATTTCCTGAAGACAATGAACAGCTTTCTAGCCTTTAACTTACTCAATCATTAAGAGTTACAGGCAATCCTTGCATTCCTACACAGAACTTCCTTTTCTCTGAAAACAGAGGGTAGGACCCAAACTCAACCACAAGGAGAAACCGCTACATGTTGGCAGTTTTGACAGAATAACTTAAAAGACATTTTTATTCTTCTTCCTTCTAAATGTTCATACAACATGATTTCTTAACACAAGACATATTTCATGTGTGATTTTGAAAGATAAGAAACTAAAGCAAAGATAAAAGGTAGGCCAGGTACAGTGGCTCACACCTCTTATACCAGTACTTTGGGATGCCAAGGCAAAAGGAATGCTTGAGCTCAGGTGTTAGAAATCGGCTTGGCAGCTGGGTGTGGTGGTTCACCCAGGTGTGGTGGTAATCCCAGCATTTTGGGAGGCCAAGGTGGACAGGATCACTGAGGTCGGGAGTTCGAGATCAGCCTGGCCAACATGGTGAAAGTCTGTCTCTAGTAAAAATACAAAAATTAGATGGGCATGGTGGCAGGCGCCTGTAATCCTGGCTATTCAGGAGGCTGAGGCAGGAGAATCTCTTGAACCCAGGAGGGGGAGGCTGCAGTGAGCCAAGATTGTGCCATATCACTCCAGCCTGGGCAGAAGAGTGAGACTCTGTCTCAAAAAAAAAAAAAAAAGAAAAAAAGAAATAAAAAAAAAAAGAAACAAAAGAAAAGAAAAAGAAAAAGAAAATAAACCGGCCTAACAAACACAGGAAGACATCATCTCAAAAAAAAAAAAATTAAACAAAATTAGGTGGGCATGGTGGGGTGTACCTATAGTCCCGGCTACTTGGGGATCTGGGGATGTAAGACAGGAGGATGGCTTGAGCCCAGGAAGACGAGGCTGCAGTCAGCTCTGATCATGCCACTGCATTCCAGCTTGGCAGTTTAGGTGACAGGGAAAGACTTTGGCAAAAAAAAAAAAGAGGCTGGGTGCAATGGCTCAAGCCTGTAATCCCAATACTTTGATTCATCTGAGCTCAGGAGTTGGAGACCAGCCTGGGCTACATGGCAAAAGCCCATCTCTACCAAAAATACAAAAATTTAGTTAAGTGTGATAGCACACGCCTGTAGTCCCAGCTACTCAGGATGCTGAGGCAGAAGAATCACTTGAACCTAGGAGGCAAAGGTTGCAGTGAGCCAAGATCACACCATTGCACTCCAGCCTGGGCAACAAGAGTGAAACTGTCTCAAAAAAAAAAAAAAAAAAAAAAAAAAAAAGCCAGCCATGGTGGCTCACACCTGTAATCCTAACACTTTGGGAGGCCTAGGCAGGTGGATCATGAGGTCAAGAGATCAAGACCATCCTGGCCAACATAGTGAAATTCCATCTCTATTAAAAATAAAAAAAATTAGCTGGGCGTGGTGGTGCATGCCTGTAGTCTCAGCAACTCAGAAGGCTGAGGCTGGAGAATCACTTGAACCTGGGAGGCAGAGGTTGCAATGAGCTGAGATCACAACATTGTACTCCTGCCTGGCGACAGAGCAAGACTCCATCTCAAAAAAAAAAAGATAAAAGGTATGCCAAGAGTTTCTGCAAAGGTTAAATAAAAAGTTACCATGTGATCCAGCAATTCCTAGCTATATTCTATAAGAACTGAAAACATGTCCACAACAAAAAGTCATATACAAATTCTTCATAGCAGCATTATTCATAATAGTCAAAAGTGGAAATAATCCAAATGTTGAGTAATTGATGAATGGGTAAATAAAATATGGTATATCCACATAATCATTATTCAGCCATAAAAAGGTTTGAAGTACTGTTGCATGCTACCACATCAATGAACCTTGAAACATTATTCTGAGTCAAAGAAGTCAGTCACAAGGGGCTACACATGGTATGAGTTCACTTATATAAAATGTCCAGAATAGGCAAATCCATAGAGACAGAAAGTAGTTTTGTAGTTGCCAGGAGGTATGGGAGTGACAGCTAAGTAGTTCTTTTTGGGGTGATGAAAAATCAGTGGTCATGGTTGGACAACTCTGTGAATATACTAAAAAGCATTGAATTGTAAACTTTAAGGCATGACTTTCATGGTATGTAAATTGTATCTCAACAAAAAAATCACAGGCCGGGCATGGTGGCTCACACCTATAATCCCAGCACTTTGGGAGGCCTAGGCGGGAGGATCACCTGAGGTCAGGAGTTCGAGACCAGCCTGGCCAAAATGGAGAAACCCCATCTCTACTAAAAATACAAAATTAGGGGGCCGGGCGCGGTGGCTCAAGCCTGTAATCCCAGTACTTTGGGAGGCCGAGGTGGGTGGATCATGAGGTCAAGAGATCGAGACCATCCTGGTCAACATGGTGAAACCCTGTCTCTACTAAAAATACAAAATTTAGCTGGGCATGGTGGCGCGTGCCTGTAATCCCAGCTACTCGGGAGGCTGAGATGGGAGAATCCCTTGAACTTGGGAGGCGGAGGTTGCGGTGAGCCAAGATCACGCCATTGCACTCAGCTTGGACAAAAAGAGCAAAACTGTCTCAAAAAAAAAAAAAAAAAAAGCCAAAAAGATATAAAATCAGCAAGTAAAAAATATAGATAATAGGTAGCATCCCTTCCTCTCTGTTCTTCTCATGTTTCTCCCATGCAAAATCCTTGACTAAAGTACCATATATTTTACATAGTTATTCTGAAAATGACTGGAAACCTAAAAATATCCTAACCACCAAACAAAAGCAGCTGCTTATTTTGATAATATTTTTGTACCATAGACCTTCCTTAAAATGCAAGTTGACAGAGGACTTATGCCACAAACCCAAACATGCACAGTCCACTAGAGTTCGAGAGATGCTGTTTTAACGGCCATCGGCACAAAACACATTCCCAAAAGAGACTCACACTCACAAAAGAGAACTACGTTATTACTCAGTCTAGTCAGAAGGCAATGTCACCAGGAACCTAATTGTGATAGACATCCACTTAGTGTTTTCTGTCTGAAGCCCAAGACAATGGGCCTCAAAAACAAAACAAATCTCATACTAAACTGAATTACAGAAAAGTATGTCCTGTGTTTAAATTTTTGGATATAGCCGGACGCGGTGGCTCAAGCCTGTAATCCCAGCACTTTGGGAGGCTGAGGCGGGTGGATCACGAGGTCAAGAGATCGAGACCATCCCGGTCAACATAGTGAAACCCCGTCTCTACTAAAAATACAAAAAATTAGCTGGGCATGGTGGCGCGTGCCTGTAATCCCAGCTACTCAGGAGGCTGAGGCAGGAGAATTGCCTGAATCCAGAAGGCGGAGGTTGCGGTGAGCCGAGATCGTGCCATTGCACTCCAGCCTGGGTAACAAGAGCGAAACTCTGTCTCAAAAAAAAAAAAAAAAAAAAAAAAAAAAAAAAAAAAATTTGTATATAAAATGAAAAAAATATATAGGTTTGGCGTGGTGGCTCACGCCTGTAATCCAAGCACTTTGGAAGCTAAGGCAGGCGGATCACCTGAGGTCGGGAGTTCAAGACCTGCCTGACCAACATGGTGAAACCCAGTCTTTTAAAATAAATAAATAAATAAAAAGTAAGGCCGGGCATGGTGGCTCACTCCTGTAATCTCAGCACTTTGGGAGGTCGATGTGGGCGGATCGCCTGAGGTCAGGAGTTCGAGACCAGCCTGCCCAACACGGAGAAACCCCATCTCTAATAAAAATACAAAAAATTAGCTGAGAGTGGTGGTGCGCTCCCAGCCACTCCGGAGGCTGAGGCAGGAGAATCACTTGAACCTGGGAGGTGGAGGTTGCAGTGAGCCAAGATCGCGCCACTGCACTCCAGCCTGGGTGACAGAGCAAGACTCTGTCCAAAAAAAAAAAAAAAAGCACTTATTAAGCAGTTGTGTTAATAGTAGCCTGAAGATTATCTCCCAATGGCAGCAGGTTGTATCTTTTTCTGTATATGTTCGAGACTGTAGAGAAACCACAGGGCTTTCCTGTATCTTTGATAACTCAATGCCCGTGAAACAGTAACTGCACCACTTGAAAGTATATTTAGCTTTTCCTTTCAGCACTCCTCTCTTAAAATCTGTTTTTTCATTTCCCTATACCTTTGTATTCTCTCTCTCAAGGACAACGAAATCATTTTCCTTCTTCTACTTTTCCAACATAGCTCCACTTTCACCTTAAATTGTAAACCTTCTAGAACGGGATTACTCTAAATGACTTTTTAAATGCATTCAAGAGCGTATATTCAGGCATTAACCGAATCCATTTATTGTCAACGCTACTGCTTCTCAATCCTACCTCTCCCTCGCTCTCGCCCCTGAGTCCTCCCCTCCCAATATCCATTTTGTCTCCACTTTCAGCTTTCCCAGGTCACTGTCTCAACCTTTCCTCAGGGTCTCCAAAATCCATGTCTACCCGCCGCAGGTTTTCCCAAATAGTCTCCTCCCCGGACTCATTACTACCCGCGTGACCCCCTCGGATTCCGCTCTGGTCCCTCACTCTCCCCCACTTCGGAAGCCACCGCTACTCCCACCGCCGTCCCACAGTTCAGGGAACGCTCCTCACACACCCTCCCCTCCACCTCCAAAACTTCCCCTTACAACCTCCTCAACTTCTACCTTTCCAGTTCCCAGACCCCACTAGGTCTCCCTTCACCTTCAGTGAATGCCTCTTTCCTACTCTAGAGTTTTCGGACACTCGCGCCCCTCAAAGCCCTCCCTGCCCTCGCCCTGCACCCGCGCCGCCCCCGGGCCCACAGCGCCCCTTTGGGCGCGGCCCTCCGACCTGCCTCCGCGCCTCCCGCAGCCCCTCAAGCCGGTGACCCAGCTCCCGCCGGTAGCTCTGCGCCGCCTCCACGCTCTCGCGGGCCTCCTGCAGCAGCAGCTCAGGCTCCAGCTCCATCGCCCCCCTCATCTGGCCGCGCGGGCGTCCGCCGCAGCTAGCACAAACTCCCGACTGTGCCCGGCGCCTCAGAGCGGCCCGGCAATACTCCGCGCAGGCGGAAGCCCCGCCCCGCCCCGCCGCGCCACGCCCCACGACGACCTTGATTGACGGGCGCGCGGCGGCGCCTAGCGCAAGTGGCGTCCGGGTCCCAGCGCCGCCCGCCCAGTGGCTCACCCGGCCTCTGCCGTGCTGCGGCACAGCGCCTCCGGCTGGGCCTCCTTGGAAAACGTGCTGAGGCCTGACAAGACTGATAACCAGCACCTCGCCAAGTGCATCTCACAACTCATCGCTTTCTTGCCTAACCTTCAGCGATACCTGTATCTCCACTGCTCAGACGAGGAAACTGAGGGATAAAGTGGGGAATTGGCCCGGCGCGGTGGCTCAAAGCCCCAGCACTTTGGGAGGCCGAGGCAGGCGGATCGCTTGAGCCCTGGAGCCCCAGAGTTAAGAGACTAGCCTAGACAACACGGCGAAACCCTGCCTCACCAAAGATACTACTACTGTTTCTACTACTATTACTGCTACTACTACTATTACTACTGCTACTAGCAACGCGCAGTGGAACACGCCTGTAGTCCCAAACTGGGAGGCTGTATTGGGACCATCCCTTGAGCCCTGGGGTTTGAGGCTGCAGTAAGCTGTGATGGAGCCACGGCACTCCAGCCTGGGCGACAGAGCAAGACCCTGTCTCTAAATAAAAAATACTTTATTGCCGGGCCCGGTGGCTCACGCCTGTAATCCTAGCACTTTTGGAGGCCGAGGTGGGTAGATCACCTGAGGTCAGGAGTTCAAGACCAGCCTGGCCATCATGGAGAAACCCCATCTTTAAAAAAAAAAAAAAAAAAAAACTTTTTAAAAAAAGTGGCGAATTGACTTTTCCAAGCCGCGTGATTTGAGCCCAGATCTGACACTAGAGCCCTGGTCCTTAAATCATTGTTTTGCTATCTCTCAGCAGCACAAGCTTTAGGGGAGGTTACTAAAACCCAGATGGCAGCGAGGCACGGTGGCTCACGCCTGCAATCCCAGCACTTTGGGAGGCCAGGGCGGGTAGGTCACGGAGGTCAGAAGTACAAGACCAGCCACGGCCAGCATGGTGAAACCTCATCTCTACTACAAATACAAAATTCAGGCTGGGCCCAGTGGCTCACGCCTGTAATCCCAGCACTTTGGGAGGCCATGGCGGGTGTATCACGAGGTTAGGAGTTCAAGACCAGCCTGACCAAAATGGTGAAACCCTGTCTCTGCTAAATAATAATAATAATACAAAAATTAGCCAGGAATGTTAACATGTGCCTGTAATCCAGCTACTTGGGAGGCTGATGTAGGAGAATTGCTTGAACCTGGGCAGCAGAGGTTGCAGTGAGCTGAGACTGTTCCATTGCACTTCAGCCTGGGTGATAGAGCAAGACTCCATCTAAAAAAAAAAAAAAAAAAAAAAAATTAGCCAGGTGTGGTGGTGGGCACCTGTAATCCCAGCTACTTGAGGGTTGAGGCAGGAGAATTGCTTGAACCTGGGAGGCAGAGGTTGCAGTGAGCCAAGATTGTGCTACTGCACTCCACCCTAGGTGACAGAACGAGACTTGGTCTCAAACAACAGCAACAGCAAAACCCAGGTGTCACCGCCCAGGAGTTCGTGGTCTAATGAGGGATCCAAGAGAGAGGCCTAAGAGATGACCAGCAGGACAGCAATTCTGGCACAAGTCTAAGAAGGGTGTTGGCAAGTGTCTTCTGTAAGGACCAGGTAGTAAATAAGCTGGGCTTGGGCTTGCCAGACCAGAAGGTCTCTGTCGCAACGGGTGTGATTGTAAGTAATAAAACCTTATGGGCAGGGCGTGGTGGCTCACATCTGTAATCTTGGGAAGCCAAGGTGGGAGGATTGCTTGAGCCCAGCAGTTTGAGACTAGCCTTTGCAACAGGTGGAGACCCTACAGATTTTTAAAAAATAATTAGCCGCTCATGTGGCGCCCTCCTGTGGTCCCAGCTACTCAGGAGGCTGAGGTGGGAGGATTCCTTGAGCCCAGGAGTTCGGGGCCAACCTGGGTAACATAGCGAGACCTTATCCCTAGAAAAATAAAAATAAAAAATAAATAAGTAAAATTACAAGGAAAACTTCCGTAAAACCAAGACATGAATCTTGGTCTCATTCGACTTGGTTTTCTTAGTCTGATGGAAGGCAAGAAATGTGTATCTAATATATCTACACAATACCCAAAAACAAAACAAATAAGAAAACAGAAAGAACTATTCGAAAACTGCTCACTCTCAGGCTTGAATTTTTTTTTGTTTTTGAGACAGAGTCTTGCTCTGTCCCCAGGCGCCAGGCTGGAGTGCAGTGATGCAATCTCAGCTCACTTGAATTCAATTGCTTGAATCCCAGGTTCAAGCAATTCTCCTGCCTCAGCCATCCCGAGTAGCCGAGACTACAGGCGTGCACCAACACGCCCAGCTAATTTTTGCATTTTAGTAGAGATGGGATTTCATCATGTTGGCCAGAATGGTCTATATCTCTTGACCTCACGATCCACCCGCCTCGGCCTCCCAAAGTGCTGGGATTACAGGCGTGAGCCACCGCGCCTGGCCCGGCCTTGAAATTTTTATATGCATTGTTCTTAAATTTGGAGCACAAGCTCCTAAAGAGTAAATACTCTTGTCCATCACAATTAGAGAGGAAGCTGGTTTGGAAGTAGATGTCAGCTGACCATTAGACAGGGTTTAACAGAGGTATTATCTCCATGGCATCACATTGGTCTAGAACAGACTTTTCTTTTTTTTTTGTTTTTTTTTGTTTGAGACAGAGTCTCACTCTGTCACCAGGCACTAGGCTGGAGTGCAGTGGCACAATCTCGGCTCACTGCAACCTCCGCCTCCTGGGTTCAGGCAATTCTCCTGCCTCAGCCTTCCAAGTAGCTGGGACTACAGGCGCACGCCGCCACGCCCAGCTAATTTTTTGTATTTTTAGTAGAGACGGGGTTTCACCATGTTGGCCAGGATGGTCTCGATCTCTTGACCTTGTGATCCGCCCGCCTCGGCCTCCCAAAGTGCTGGGATTACAGGCTTGAGCCACCGCGCCCGGCCTAGAACAGACTTTTCAAGTGTACCCAGAGGATTCCTGAACACAGACTCCTGCTAATAGGATTCCCAATAAACAAACTAAGCAGCTTGCCAATTTATTTATTTACAATAGGAATATAATTGTTGAAAAAAAAATCACAATAGCTGAAAAATCAAGTTGTAACCAGAGAGTTGGATTCAGATCAGAATACTTTGGTCATCTGGTCAGCAAAGCCTTTTTCCCTCTCGTCTCCAACCTCTTCTCAGAAAGCTCCTAACTGTACTGGACACAGTTAACAATTTTTTGCTGACTCCACCTTTCATTCCCGCCCCCCCTTTTTTTGTTGTTTGTTTGAGACAGGGTCTTGTCTGTCACCCAAGCTGGAATGCAGTGATGCAATCAGTGCTCACTGCACCCTCTATCTGCTGGGTTCAAGCAATTCTGCCATCTCAGTCTGCCTAGTAGGTAGGATTACAGACACCTGCCACTAGACCCAGCTATTTATTTATTTATTTATTTATTTGTGAGACGGAGTCTCACTCTTTTTGTCCAGGCTGCAGTGCAGTGGTGTGATCTCGGCTCACTGCAACCTCTGCCTCCTTGGTTCAAGTGGTTCTCCTGCCTCAGCCTCCTGAGTAGCTGGGATTACAGGCACCTGCCACCACGCCTGGCTAATTATTTTGTACTTTTAGTAGAGACGGGGTTTCTCCATGTTGTCCAGGCTGGTCTCAAACGACCTCAGGTGATCCGCCCACCTAGGCCTCCCAAAGTGCTGGGATTACAGGCATAAGCCACTGTGCCCAGCTGACCCAGCTATTTTTTATTTTTTTGAGACCGAGTCTTGCCCTGTTGCCCAGCCTGGAGTGTAGTGGCATGATCTTGACTCACTGCAACCTCCACCTCCTAGGTTTAAGCAATTCTCCTGCCTCAGCCTTTACAGTAGCTGGGATTACAGGCACCCGCCACCGTGCCTAGCTAATTTTTTATTTTGTTTTGTTTTTTGCAGACAGAGTCTCACTTTGTTGCTTAGGCTGGAGTGGAGTTGCACGATCTTGGCTCACTGCAACCACCAAGTTTTCCAGGTTCAAAAGATTCTCCTATCCCAGCCTCCTGAGTAGCTGGGATTATAGTCAAGCACCACACATATGGCTAAATTTTGTATTTTAAGTAGAGATGGGGTTTCACCATGTTGACCAGACTGATTTCAAACTCCTGACCTCAGGTGATCCACCTGCCTTGGCCTCCCAAAGTGCTGGGTTTACAGGTGTGAGTCACTACACCCGAACAATTTTTTGTAATTTTAGTAGAGACAGGGTTTCACCATGTTGGTCAGATTGGTCTTGAACTCCTGACCTTGTGATCCACCCTTCTAGACCTCCCAAAGTGCTGGGATTCTAGGCGTGAGCCACCGCGCCTGGCAATTTCACCGTTAAAAAGCAGCTAGCTGGCCGGGCGCGGTGGCTCAAGCCTGTAATCCCAGCACTTTGGGAGGCCGAGGCGGGTGGATCACGAGGTCGAAAGGTCGAGACCATCCTGGTCAACATGGTGAAACCCCGTCTCTACTAAAAATACAATAAAACTAGCTGGGCATGGTGGCGCATGCCTGTAATCCCAGCTACTTAGGAGGCTGAGGCAGGAGAATTGCCTGAGACCAGGAGGCGGAGGTTGCGGTGAGCCGAGATCGTGCCATTGCACTCCAGCCTGGGTAACAAGAGCGAAACTCCGTCTCAAAAAAAGAAAAAAAAAAGTCTAAATTTTAAATCTGTTAACAACTGATTAGGTAACTTAGTGAAATTACGTCCTCCACGGCGAAACTGGGCTGCAGGACAGAAATCCAATTTCCAAATTCCCGGGTTGGCTTTCAATCCCACAGTGTGGTGGTTTCATCTCCCGCGAGTTCGCCAAGGGGATGCATTTTGGCCCTCTCGGCTCACCGTCCGCGCAGCCTCCAAAGCAGCCGTAAACTCCGCCCCTTGCGCTCAGGACGGCGCGAAAACCCAATTGACAAGAATTCCCTCCGAAGCTCTGTG